GAGATGGAGGGGAAGCGAAGGGAAATTCAAGGCTGGAGACTGGGAGAGCATGCCAATTCAAGTCTCATGGGGTGGAAGGAATCAGGGTCTTTAGCCCACTGCCCAGAGGTTTTGGGGATCCAGCTGACCCCCCCCCACACACACACACACACACAACTTCTACATTCCTAGGAAGGGAGTCCCAGGGTCTCAGAACCCAGCTTGTCGGGATGGTGAAGAGGGCAGTGAGGCTCAATGGCTTGGGCGCTCTGTCCAGCCATTGGGGGAGGTAAAGGTGCGGGGGCGGAGGGGAAGGGGGTGCTGGTCACGGGGAAACCCAGGCAGGCTCCCATCTCCCTCCCTGGCTGAGCCCCGACTCTGCCCCCACGGTGGCGGGCAGCTGGGGCCCTGCTCCACAGCCGGGAATAGATCGACCGAGACATGGTTGACAGCAGTATTAATGGAGGGGCCAGGCATGTCAGTCACACTGCTGGGCGACAGTGAGCAGGCTGCTGGGCCGAGCCCTAGGGTAACCCATGTACCAACAGCCACTGGGGCACGCAGGCGTCTGGGAGGCCCTGTCAGGGCGGGGGAACCTCTTTAAAGCCTCACAGAGGCATTCGGGCAAATCCAGCAGCTGCATCTCCCGTGCCAGCCAGGCTAAGAGCACCATGCTGGGGGCCGTGGGCGCCCTGAGCTGCCAGACCCACGCCTCCCTCTCAGGTTGCTCCCAGGCCAGGGCAGGAGACAGATGGGTAATAATAATAACAGCAAAGGCCCCTGTAGCACTTACGTGGTGCTTTGTGTATGTGAGTTAATTTCATCCTCTGCAAAAGGGTTTAACACTGCCCCTACTTTACGGGTAAGGAAACTGAGGCTGGCTCTCGATCTGTGTTCTTAACCACACACGGTGTTGCCAAACGGGTGTGAGTGTGTTTGGAGGGGCTCTGTGGGAGCTGTGCTCAGGGCGCGGGGAGTCTGCGCTGGGCCTAGAGGGGGAAGAAGACACCCGTCTGGGGATGAGACACAAAGAGGCAGGAGGCCATTGGGGTTTGGAGCTGGGGGAGAGACGCCGGTGTCACGGACAGGCGGAAAGTGTGGCAGGGAGCAGAGTCGTGGCTGCTGGACAGCACGGGGGTGCTCTGCTGAGCAGAGGGGACCGAGGTCTGGGAGACCCTGGAGGGGCTGGCCAGGCTCAGTGCTCAAGGCCCTGGGGGCAGGGCCACCGCAGGTCAGGAGCAGGAGAAAGGAGAGGCCTTGGCCGGAGGCACAGGAGGCGACCAGGAGGAGGGCCGCCGTGGCCAGGGAGTTGAGAGGGGGGTTCAGGCAGAAGTGCCAGCTACTGTGGTGAGAAGAGCGCCCGGAGGGTGAGGACCAAGGGTCCTGGAGAAGGGGCGTTCCTGGGAATGATGGGGGTCAGGAGACAGTTACTGTTGTGATTACGGAGTCTTTAGGGCATGGACCAGATTGTGTCCTGATTGGTTGCAATACATGATCTGATTTGTGAGTTAGATTTCACAGTAACCCCAGAAGGTGGGTGTGGTGACCCCCGCTTCACAGACGGGGCGGGGAGGACCAGAGATTATGGAACTGGCAGGGCACGGAGAAGGGACAGTTCTCCTTCCAGAGCTACCTCCGGGCTGGCCCTGGGGGTTGCCCCCCCCTCCCCCAACACTTGTCTCCAGTCCACACGAGGCCGAACTCAAGTGCCCCAGCCGAGCAGGGCTGGCGGCAGAGGCCGTGGCAGGAGGGTCAGGGCCCACCCAGCCTCCAGCGGGTGAAGTGGGTGATGACAGGAGGCACTTCCCTGCCTTCCTGGAGCCCTCTCCTCTCTCTTAGAACATTCTGTGACTTGAGCGTTTGTCCTCATTAAACCAGACTCCCCTGGTTGGCTGCTGTCATTCACTCACACCTGGATTTGAATGAGTGATTTTAAGAGGGTGCAGAGGGGGAGGTGGGGGCGCTCACATCTCGGGAGCGTCACACTCTGTCCCCTGAAGAACCAGCGGCTTCTCCTTTGAACCCATCACCCGCTGAGCGCCGGGAGGGGCCAGGCCAGCCGGGTGACCTCCGTTAGGAGTGTGTCATCCCGCCATC